ACTGCTGCCATTGCTGGCCGCCACCCGGCCCCTGGACCCCTCGGAATACACCTGTTGAAAAGCATGAAATTAGGACTCCATTCTTCTCGTCCACTGGACCTTCTCTCAGTGCCTTCCCCCGCCCGCCGCCGCCGCCGAGCCTTTTCCCTCTGTCCCTTCGCCTCCCGCTGGCACACACTGCCTCTCCCTCCGTCCCCTTCTCGCAACACACACTGCCTCTCCCTCGCTCCGTCTCCCTGCTCACGCTTTCTGTGGCCCTCCTCCGCCCGATGCGGAGCCGACCATACGGCGCCCGTCTGGCCCCTCTGGCCTGGCCGGCCGGCCCGCTCTGTGCTCCGCTCTGCTGCCGCCTGACGCCGCGCAGGGTAGCCCGTCCCGTCGCACACGTCCGCTCGGCGGGGATGCCTGCCCTCCCGGCGGTTTGCGGTGGCCGCGCTCGCTGCTCCCGCTGCACAGCCCGAGGCTCGGCAGCGCTCCCCCTGCCCCGCGCCCCGCGCCCCGCCTGCAGCAGAGGCCCCGCCGCGCCGTTTGACCGCAGGCCACGCCGCGCGCTGCACGGTGCAAACCATGACATGACGTGCTGTTACGCCCACGTGCCACACAAACCCCGCCGGCCCCGCCGGCCCCGCCGCCGTCGCCGACGTCCGGCGGACAAATTTATGGACTGACGCCGCCGCCGGGGGGGATGGCGAGTAGTGCGAGAGTGTGGCGGGGGCCGAGGGAAGAATGCAGCGAGGCACGCCGAGGTCGTGTGAGGGGTTATAATGCGGGCCATGTGTGTGCGGTGGGTCAACGCGCGCCCGGGGCCCGGGGCCCGGGGCCCGGGGCCCGGGGCCCGGGGCCCGGGGCCCGGGGTGGGTCGTATATATCGCCAACCGCCCGGCGTTCGATATATTTTTCGTTTATTTCTAATTTTTTTTTTTTGCTTTTTTTTTCTGCAGATTAATCGCGACTCCTTTCTCTGCTGACGGCCTGGCTGGCGGTGCGGCCCCCATACCTCCGGCTCGTGTCAGTATATGCGCTGCAGCACGCACACACGCGCACACGCGCACACACACACTCACACACAAACACACACACACACAAACACACACTCACACACATCGGGGCGGGGATAACAAACGGGGGTCTAGTCTGGCGATGAGGAGACAAGGAGCACGGAGGGAGGGGCGGCCCCGAAGAGGGACGGGCACCGAGAGCGGTTGTCTTTATTTTAAATCGATCCGGCCCCGCCCCTAGCACTCCGCCGTGTAGTGGTGCCGACCACTCGCCGCCGCTGGGCCACTCGCAGCAGCAGCAGCAGCAGTCCCCGCCCGCGGCCCCCCGGGGCGGGCGCAGCGCAGTGCTCTGCCATGTACCGCGCCGCGTCCCGCTCGCCGCCCCCGCCGCGCGCAACGAAGCGCCCGTAATTAATTAAAGCCCGCGACGTGGAAAAATAACCACAACTATATGACCTCGTGTTCCGAAGCGCAGCTTTAGCCCGCGGCGGGGCGGCGGGGCGGCGCGCGTTGAGTTATGTCGGGGAGGGGGGATGCTCTGGCTCCGCGGGTAGCGCTCGCGGGGGCGGGGCGATGTTTAATAAATTTGGGTCGCAGCGCGCGCGGCGCCCCGAGTCGGGTTTGACTTTACGGAGCACCGCGGGATTAGACCTTGGGTCAAACCTCAGCGAAGGATTCGTTTAATCCCCCTCCACAAGACCCGTTGGGCGTCTCCGCGAGTTTTCCTGGCTCGTCCTTGCTCCTCGAGAAGATTAAATCGCCTTCGGGGTGCTCGACGCGCTCCCCCCGCACCCGCGGGCCCTGTTGCGTCCAACTACCGAGTGGTTTGGCTGCCGGTTCAACCGAAATGGGGCCGAAAACAAGCAACAGATGCGGCCATATGGTCCTGGAAAGAGTGAGGGGGGAGGGGAAGGGCCAGCCGTGGCCCGATGGCTGACCAGGGCAGGGCACGGAGGGCGAGGCGCTGCGCCACCGCACCGCTCGCGCCACCTCGCGGGCGCGAAGGGCAGCGCGGTACGCTATGCCCGCGGCGCCGCGACGCCGCGACGCCTGGCCCGCAGATGGCGCGGCAGTGCCGCCACCGCGGCGCTAAAACTTGACTTGATGTGATGAAATTCGGGAGAGGTAACGCCTCGGAGGTTCATTGAAAAAGACATTGCCTTAAAGAATTAAAAATTTCTTTATTATTTTATCCTGTTAGTAAAAATACTGCTTCGGCAATGTACACACCAAACAAAGCCAGTGAGGTGAGAAACCCGTAAAAAAATTATGATTGTCTCAAGATAAGAACTAAGGAACAAGTAACTTGTTAGTACAGTATTATAACTTAAAATTATGAGAAATATTTCAGGTACTAAGCAATCTCCTAGTTGTGGTGCAGCAAAGCACTGACTTCAAGAAAAAAAGTCTGGGCTAGGAAGTTCTACTTCTTCTTTCCTTTAGTGAGAAACTTGTCCATTGTGGCTGATTTAGTATAGACTTTCCCACCATATCTTGCAACAAAAGCAGAAATATCAAACTTCCTCTTGCATCCTTGGTAGTTCATGTAACGAATTTTTCCAAAAACTTCGCGTTCACCCCATCCTTGGTCATGGATACCACAGACAGACCACATACACCCTGTAAAAGGAAAATTATTTGTATTTGGAAATTTAATCATTATTTCTGCAACTCATAAGAGTACTATGATTGCCAACCTACCAACATAACCACTGGGATCTCGACCATCAAGACTGTACCTATCATTAAGGTAAATAGCATCTGCTAAACCTTGTTCAGGAGAAGCAGTCCATTCTAAAATTTTTTTGGCCCAGTACATTCTCAAAAACCCATGCATTTTGCCCTCCTTCACCAACTGTATCTGTGCAGAGTTCCACAAGTCATCATGAGTCTTTGAATCTCGTAGTTCTTCTCGAGTATACAAGTACGGCCGTTTATCTTTCCTGAAATTCATATTGGGCTGTTACTTTTAAAGTTTACTAGGCGTACACAGTTTAGAGGGATTGAAGCTTTGAAATCAAAAGTGAGAGTGAGAATGGAAATACATACTTGTGATCATTGAGTGTCTTCTTAGCCCAGTCATTTGTGCCCTCAATACTATCATATTTTGGGTTGTAGAAACAAAAGTTGTCGGAAAGCTCTCTTCGGATAATTGCTTCTTCAATATAACCATCAACACTCTCCGGGTATTTACTCCTTAAAGCTTTAACCACCAAAATGCATCGCTGGGCAGACACCTGACCTAAAATTTTCACTAATTAATTTAACATGCATTATAACTTGAAACTTTCCCAAAAACGATACGAGTGAATAGCTTACCAAAATGAAGCCATGGTGATATATTACTGAGTGCATCCTGTGTGGGATCATTACGTTTGGTACCAAAGAATTTTAGACGTTTGTTGATAAAGCTTTCTAGTGTTGCTATACCACCTGAGTATCCTGGTACTGCCCACTCTACTTCGTCAACTGATCTATCAACCTCCAGATGGGCTTCACATCGATCCCAATCAACTTTCTAATTGAAGAAGATAGCATAAGCAATTATAAATAATTCTATAAATGACAAGTTAAAAAATAATAATATATAAGTAAAATAGTATTACCTCAGCCTTTAGTGGTCCTGAGTATGGATGCTTTATAACTGGTGGAAATTGGGTCAAGTATTCAGGGAGTTGCTTATGTATCTTTGGTCGAATAGTTCTGGCTCCATATTCCAGTTTATTAGATGCCTCCCAGCATGGGACAATGTTGTGGGCATCAACCTGAAACAATATTCAATGAAAAATATTTACTTTGCATGTTATGTTCATTTTGTCTTTATCCTCCCATAACATAAATACTGTAATTTTAAAAAAATTGAATATTATACCTGACACAGAGGCACATCTTTTGGTAAAGCTTTCTTTAGTTGGTCTGCATAAGCCATAACATTGCGTAGTGGCATGAAATCAATGACAAGGGCGCCAATTTTGTTCTTTTCAACAAAACCTGGCATGACATCACCACCACTGCCATACAACATATGGAATTCTATGTTCAATTCCTCACACTCTTTCTGCACCTCCCTTAAACCTGAATCAGACAGAATTAGTCAGTAAAATGTAGCAGATAAAAATTTATAAAAACGCAGTAGCTTGAGTCAAAAAACCTTTCAGGAGGAATTTGAATTGGCGAATAGTCCCATCAAGAAACTTTGTGAGAAGGCAAAAGCAAACATGCAACGGAACTTTGTTCTTGAGGGCAAGTTTTTGAGCGAAGAGGAAAGCCCAGTTATCTGAAAATGGAGAGAAACATTTTATATTTGCTTTCAATTTTCAGGTCAAGAGACAGAAATAAGGAGAATTACTGTACTTACCTTGCACTCTTTCATCTCTAAACATCCAATACGCAATGCCCTTGCAATCTGACGGAACCTCAGTTGCTTTCGACAGAATCCTCACCCTTTTCTTGTTAAACTTGAAGTTAAGAATTGATTCAGCAGTCTAAAATTTAAACGTACAACAAAATGATGTAAAGTATAAGATTTCATATATGCTAAACAAGTGGCATATGAGCAAATGAGAACAAACCTCTTTTCGGTCTAGCATCAATCGCTGTTTCAGATTAGATTGTGCACTGACAGAGGGTGAACTGGGAGAGTCATTTACTTTGATTTTCTTCTTGGGTGGTTCCTTATTGCTTGACATAGTTGAGAATTTAAGCTTCGAGTAGAAAATAGATATGATGATTAAGCAATTAAAAATGGAGGAAAGTGAATTTCAGTTCCTCCAAAACTTAAACAAAGTGTTATATAAATGCAGCTAACGAAAATTCGACACTAATCTGATGTTCTTTCCGTTACCTTGAATGACAACTGCTGTAGAGAGCTGTTCAGAGAGCAGCGGGCAAGAAATGAACGAAACTGCAAATTTCTAAGCGCCACTATGGATGAAATTGGAGAATGCTCTAAAGAATTTTGCAGCTCGCAATACGAACACTACACGCGAAAACCTTGTTTAATGTTTTTGTTTCTGGTTAGGCGTGTACACGCTTGCCAATGCATTAACTAAGGTTGAAATTTGAAATCAATCTTTACAACTGTTTTGTCGTGTCTTCAAAAAGTTTCAAGCCTTGATTTAGATAAATTTTACTTTGTTTTTATGTTTTGGCTTTTAAAATTACTTTTGCTAGGGTTTCAAAGCTTCAAGTTTTGTTTAACGGTTGGCAGTTTTGAAGCTGTCTGCTATGCGCGCTACCTGTAAACATGTCTACGTACTCGAGTAATTTGTTATGGTAATGAACGATGATAGAGGTAATTTTAGGTACTTGTAGAGTGTCAAGTACTAAGAATCAATATCCAAGAAACTAATTTAAATTTATTTTTATTTTACAGGGCTTCGTACTGCGTATTTTAAACTGATTGGTTCTCCTAACCTTGTAATCTGCAACTTTTTCTACTCTCAATAGTATTTTCATTGTAATCAATATGTCATTCTAAGAAAGACGAAGTATTATTCATACTTAACAAAAATGATATCATTCACAAAATATCTTCGCAACTCATGCATTAATTGTCACCTTCATAGAAGTTTTAACCGTTCTTACATAACCAATAGAATTGGCCATTTAAATGGATCACATAACACCAAGACTGACGTTTTTGGTTTGCGTTCAAACTATGTGACGATACGTCCAAATTTCGCACTATTTCGAAATTTTAAGAGTGGAACATGGAAGTTCTACAGCACAAAAGCTGCGCAATCAGCAGCATCAAGTGGGTCAAAAGGGAAACAATTTGATAAACGAGCTATAGAACGATTATTATCCTTTGCCAAACCAGAGAGATGGAAAATATTTGGTCAGTATTTTTTCATATTTTAAGATCAATCAAGTGTTACCATTCTGTTATCTTCGCTTACTATAATTGCATATTTTTCATATACAGGTGCTGTGTCGGTACTTGTTGTTTCAAGTGCGGTTTCAATGTTTGTTCCTTTTGCTGTCGGTAAACTCATAGATATGATTGGTAATCAATTAAAAAGCACCTCTGAAGCAGAGAGAGAACAAAACCAAAGGGAGTTAAACAAGTTTTGTGGTACATTAATTGTGATATTTATCATTGGAGGTGCATGTAATGCAGCAAGAGTTTATTTAATGTCTGTCGCTGGTAAGCGTTTTGATACTCTTGAACTAACTTTCACTTCATCTTTCACTTTCACTTTATCTACACTTTTAAAGGATTTTTGTGTTTTAGGTCAAAGGATATCCAAAGCTCTCAGAGAGAAAGTATATAAGGCAATGATACGACAGGAGACTGCATTTTTTGACCAACGTAAAACTGGTGAATTACTCAGCAGACTTTCCTCAGATACCCTTATCCTAAGTGATTTGCTCTCAACTAAAGTATCAGATGGTCTCAGGAGTATAATTTCAACTTCTGCTGGCCTTTCAATGATGGTAAGGATGTATCTTCATTGTTCACTAAATAACCATGACATTTAAAATATACCTGTAATATAAAGAATATTGGTATATTTTGTGGTGGTTTCTCTTTCAGTTTTTCACATCGACCAAGCTGTCTTTTATAGCATTGGCGGGTGTTGTTCCTCCCATTGCGTTCCTTCTTGTTGTTGTTGGCAGATACTTGAGAAAAATCTCAAAGGAAGTTCAAGTAAGCAATTAATTTTTAATCTAATTTATTCTCCATGTGTCTCTAAGCACAGCACAAAGAAATATTTTTCTTATTTTTGTTTAGGGCTCTCTGGCTGCTGCAAATCAAGTTGCAGAAGAACGGTTTTCAAATATACGTGTTGTCAAAACCTTTGGTCATGAAAAATACGAGAGTAGCTTGTACACACAAAAACTGGCTGACCTGATTGAGCTGGCTCGAAAAGAAGCGAAAGTCAGAGCAATGTTTTTTGGATTGGTAAGACACCAGCTGAATTCTCTTAAAAATGGCTTTGCTATTTTTTGAGTTTGTGTTTTGATATTGACTTCTTGTCCTTTTCCTAGACTGGTCTTAGTGGGAACATTATTCTTGTTAGTTCCCTATATATTGGAGCACCAATGTTGATTGACTCCACGCTAACCGTGGGACAACTAAGCTCCTTCCTTTTGTACGCTGGCAGTGTCAGCTTATCTGCCAGTGGAATTGCTAATCTATATGCTGAGGTACAGAAGGGTCTTGGAGTCAGTGGTCCTCTGTTTGAAGTGCTGGACAAAAAGCCACATATTGCTTATGAAGGTATAGTAATCAACAATTAATATCTTTAAAATTTCCAAAATTTTGCTATGTATGCTGTAGAGTATAATGGTACTGTAGTGAATTGTTTATGAGGTATTTAAATACCAATTGCATTAGAAACTCAGCTTTATAGTATTGTGGTAATTACTTTCTTACTCTAAAATTTTGTTATTTTAATTATATTTTAATCTGACTTCAGGTGGGCTGATCCCTGAAGGCAAACCTCAAGGTCAATTAGATTTCTCCAATGTTTCATTTGCCTACCCAACACGGTCTGATGTAACCGTTCTTAATGGCCTTAATCTTACTATTCCTGCCGGAGCTATGACTGCAGTTGTTGGTGGTAGTGGTTCTGGAAAATCCACCATTGCATCCCTTCTTCTCAGATTTTATGATCCTCTAAGTGGTCACATTTCATTTGATGGAAGAAATGTCTCAGAGCTGGACTGGTCATGGCTGAGAAAAAATGTTGCGTTAGTCAGTCAGGTTTGTTATGAAAATAAACTTTCATATACTTCTAATGGAAAAGCCCAGTTTGCATTCTTTACAAAATTTCTATTTTCCTAGGAACCAGTTCTGTTTTCTGGCTCAATACGAGACAATATTGCTTATGGTTCTATTGAAGATGAAAACTTTTGTAATGTTCCTGAAGATGATATTTGGAAAGCTGCAGAAATAGCTAATGCAGATAAATTTATAAAGGCATTACCTAATGGACTTGACACTGTTGTTGGAGAGCGTGGTATAACTCTCTCTGGTGGTCAAAGACAAAGAGTAGCTATTGCAAGGGCATTAATGAGGGTATGTTGACTTTTATATTTCGTAATTGTATCTTGCACGAGTTGTGGGTAATGTTCTTCCTCTAATGTCATCCACTATTTTCTATTTTTGTTTCATAGGATCCTAAAGTTTTGCTCCTAGATGAAGCTACCAGGTAAATATACTGCAATCTTTATTTTTGTAAAATTTTTGTTAATCTGTAATTATTATTATTATTTATTTTCCTGTTAAGTGTTGTTAATGCACATCTTTTTCTTCTTACTATGTCTCAGTGCATTAGATGCTGAAAGTGAACATCTGGTCCAAGAATCCTTGGAGAAAATTATGCATGGTCGCACGGTGTTGGTTATTGCACATCGACTGTCTACAGTTCGCAATGCTGGTAAGATTGTTAGAATGTATTCAGTAGTTTCATTTGCCTTAACTATCAGTAATGTGATATTTTAAACTTACAGATCAAATAGCAGTTTTAGAAAATGGCTCTGTTGCTGAGCTCGGATCATATGATGAGCTTATGTCAAGAGAGGGAGCATTCAAAACTCTAGTACGTCTTCAAACATTTGATTCTTCATAGTTAGGTCATTGTTGGATCTTAAAAACTTTATTGTGATGAATAATTCTAAAGATGGGTGATTGTAAAAACTTTAGTAGAGCTGTGAACAAAAACAGAGAGATTTTAACATTTGTAGTAATTTTATTTTAAATCAATCAATACCCTTTTTTCCGTCAAAAGAATCATCCATATTTTCATCTTTTGTTCCCCACGGCGCGATAACTTGATAATCAAGATT